CATAAATTTGATGTCTTCTAACATTTCTTATCATGATTTTGACCTTCTCTAGCAAAATGTGTTAATTTGCCTTTATGCACCAAACTGTTTGAAGTGAAATGTCCCACTTGATAACCTTGAAACTTGTCCATTATGTCCCTCTTTGAATAATTGTGTGCAATTTGGAATAATTACAACTTGCTACTTGTATATACACTATTTTGCACACACTTATGTCACCTTGACAGTTTTTGAGAGTTTCTATACATCCTTTGAGCATATCTTTTTGGCATTGATTTTTGACTAAGTTTGGGGTTGTGTTATGAATTTTTGAGAGTTTAAAATGCATGATTTGGATGTGATTTTTGTTCTTTGGCATTAGTATCACTTCTTGAACATAACTTGAATTCTGAAATGTAATTTGAACCAAATTTGGGAATATGTCTGCTTTATCTGGATACTTGTTTGTTGAATGCCATTTGCTTGATCTTATACACTTGTGATCCATTCTTAATGACCGAGGTTCTTTCTAGTCCTGATTTTGATTCCACAATGGTAAACTTCTTGTATTCTCAGTTTTTGACCATTCTTTACTTCATTTAAGCTTTAAAGGGGGTCACAAGCCATAAGTGATCATAGGATATTGATTTTATTGATTTTTTTCATACTTTCAGCCCCACTATTCGATCTTGGACTCGATCGGTCGAGTTAGGCTCGATCAATCAAGCACTCTTACTTACCCACTGGTTGTTAACTCAACCTTCGAATGACCATAACTCCCTCATTTCAAACTCAAATTGGGTCATTCTTGAGCCTAAACTTACCGACTCGAAGTTAGCTTTCCAATGATATCAATTCCATCCTCAAATTCTAAACACACTGAGAGTTATAGCAGTTTTAGTGAAGTAGTGTATGAAAATTCTTCAAGCCGACAATGGGTAAAAATGGGAAACTATACCTATGGCCATTACAAACTTCTGCAATGGACTTACTTGGTTAATGAGAGGTAGAGGTATCCACTTGACTATTCATGCTGAACTCATCCTCCATATTTGCCTCAAAATGACCATTTTGCCCTTGTGTGTCATCGAGTTCGGGTAAGGACCAGTTTAGCTTTTTAGACCCTGGGTTTGGGTCGTTGCAGAGTTGGTGAAGACAAGTGAGGGTATTATAAAAATTTTAAATTACAGTGCTATCCTTTCTAAATATTAGTTCAAATGACTGAATGAGTACTATAGATTGTAATGTGTATAATAATAAAAATAATTTAGAATTCTCTCTTTCCTAACAAAGAAAGTAAGTTTGAGCATCTTCTCTTACGATTTTCATTTCCATTTTAAATTTCTTGGTTCCAAATAATAAGAATTTCATTTAGAATTCTAAATCCCATCAAATCCAACATTTCAAATGCAATGTCATTCCTTAAATTTTCATTCAATATTTGAACCTTCAATTTCGTTATATATGCATTGGATCATTTAGAAAAATATTAAGTTAATATGAGCTGTGTCATACCATGAGTTAGATATTTCATTTACTATCAAACATGTTACGTGTTACATTATATCCACTGTTTAATAAACGGATCGTTGATCGTGGAGTTTCTAACATGAATATAAAAAGTCGTATTTGAATTGAAACGAATTACATAATACCTTTATCTGGATGACAAAATACTAATACGATCCACAATTAACACAATTTGCCATCCCTATATATATTTCACATGTGAAAAGCATCTAATTCTAAATATCATCCAAGAGGCTGAAAAACAAGCCACTACATACAAATGAGGAATATACTTGCCAAAAAGAAAACAAACAAAGGAGGACATGACATGCATGCGAAGTTAAAAGTCTTGATTATCATTCTAGAAATTTACGTTATTGTTTTCTTAAAAGATTGAACATTGTCTCCATCTTGCTATTGACTTTGTTATATGTCTGATGTCCCAAGAGAAAAAGAATGTGTCCAAATGTGGAAAATAATTTCACTTTTAGGTTGGACTTCCAAATTAATATTCCATATCATAATGTGCGTGCAGTGAAAATCTTTTGAGATATTTAAGTCTCTTCTATATATATACATAATGACAAACAAATATGGAAGATATATTTGGTTTTGTTGTGACATTAAAATGGTTCTTTTAAGGAAGTCAGATAATATGTTTATGGAGGTTTAGATAATATATTAAAGATATCACCATATCAAGACAATATACCTCAAAAGCATTGATTAAATTAATTTGACAAGAACTAATCTAGAACAAATTTAGATTCTGGTGTTTCACATGTTATGCTTGCTTATACAATTTTATTAAAGATATGACCACTAAATGGACCATAATAGGAGCAGGTATTCACATTACAGTCGTTCGTGTTGTACACGCGTGGGCAAGGTCGGCTATGATGTACCATGCACCGTGCACATCGTATATATTTTCCATACCAGACACACACTCTTTTGTCTTGGGACTCAAAATTTCGGCTTTAAAAGCTGGTTTAGGCATCGATTTTTTGGTTAGGCAAGTACTCACACACATTTCACAAATTGTCCACTACAAAACTTGAACCTATCACCTTTTCTTTGAGAGAGGAGAAGTTATACGGAGGACTCATGGCCCATTGGTTTAGCTACGATTTTACTCATACGAAACTTTTTTTGTTAGATAATGTATCGTGATTCTAAAGTTAGGAATATTCTTGCACTCCTTATTTGGGAATAAAATCCTCTCATGTGAAACAATGGTCTTGTTCCGTCCAATTAATAAAGTACGTTACAAAAATATTGTGAATAACATATTTCACTAACTGGGCCGAACATGACCACTATTTGACTAGAGAGGATTTTAGTCCCCTTGCTAGACTCACTCTCTAAAGAATGTGCATTTGAGGTAGCCCTTCTAATATGATGAGAGTTGACAGGAGATGGAATTTGGAAAAACACACCCAAATTCAAGGAAAAAGTTGGCACAGCTATACACACATTTTGGTGTTTGTGTGTGTAAATTTTTGTTTCTCCCACAAACTCCCAACACATAAGATGAGGCACAACCAAAGAGTTTTATGTCTCCAAAATACTTCTGGCCATCCAGGTTATAAACAGCTCAAAAGTTGAGCTTGCATCGATATTTCCAAAATTTATACAAACACATTCACTGTGGTCATGATTTAACTCAGAAAGCTATGTTGAAGCTGACATTTTTTATTTATTTATCATGTGTAGTAGATAATTGAGTGACAGGTTAAGACCTGTAGTGTCCTTGGGGGAATAAAAACAGCTCCAAATTAACATGCAAGTCCAGTTTCACATGATAGAATATGCTATATCAAGGTAATTCGTGCAAAAAATTGAAAAATAAAAAATCAAGGTAATTCAAAATGTTGGTTAAGTTGCAAGTTATATCATGTTTCGTTGTATCAGTCGATACGTCGTTCAGCTGATTTATACCAATATTTGTTCAAGTCCGTTACATCGAGCGACTGATACCACAACTATTACCGTCATTGTGAACCATGAGTTGTATAGAAAGAAGGGCTAACCGGACTCCTGCCATTGCGGAATTTTGGAATATCAAATGTACTAGAGGTGCACAGGGCTCAATTATGGGATTAATCGGAATCAAACCAATTCTAACTGTATAGAAATATTATAGAACAAAACTGAAATAATCATTTTGGTTGTTTGGGTTTTACGATTTTGAACTTTCCTATATATGTGCGTGTAATATATAGACACACATAGGCTTGGCAAAAATTGACACGACATGCTAACACAATTCGAACACGACACGAAATAAGCGAATTTGGATTTAGCTTAATCGTATTCGTGTCGTAATCGTGTCGACCCATTTTGACACGGTAATAAAATGTGTCGTATTCGTGTTTGACCCATTAACTCATTTATAACCAAATCAAATATGTCAGATAAACATATCGTATTCGTGTTAAAAATGACCCATTTAACTAAACGTGTTGGATAAATGTGTCGTGTTCGTATCAAAAATACGTGTCTTGTCGTGTCATTTCGTATTGTGTTAAGTCTCGACTCATTTGTTAAACGAGTTTCATGTGTCATGTTACACATATAATGATCGTGTCAAGATTTCTTGAAACGAATAATAATTGTGTCGTGTTCGTGTTGACTCATTTAACAGGATACTCATGTCATGACACGACCCGTCAACACGATTTGCTACCCTACACACACTAATAAAATGAAAAATCAAAATTTAATATACTCTATGTGTGTGTGTGTGTGTGTGTATATATATATATATATATTAATGTATACAAGATGATCCTATGTATTCTAGTGTATGGTATCCGTTCGGTCCTTATGAACCCCAAACCATAACCAAACCCTAATCCACGGTTCTTTAATTTTTAGAATTGAAACCGAACTGTTCCATTATATATAGAATCAGACCAAACTTTACACTTCGATTTGGTCCTATAGACCAATGACCTCGACCAAACTGTACACTTCGATCTGGTCTTATAGACCAGTGACCTTCAAGTCACAATAGTTTCAACACTGTTGCAAGTTGTATGTTTACACGTAAATCATATGTTTTGTTTTATTTTATTTTTTTTTCTTTTTTTTTGGGGGGGGGGGGGGGGGGGGGGGGGATGTACGGATGACCCAATATATCCACCCAAAATATTGCATGAATATAACAAACATATATCTATGCAAAGATATGAGTCTGAGCAGGCAGTGATTGCAACACAGCATATGCTAGAGCCAAAATTAGAGGATGTAGAAAACAAGAAGCCAATTTTTTCTTTTCGATCTAAACGAATCAAAATGGATTATTCAATGAAGACAACCTTATTCTAACTTTGGAAAAACCTCCTTGACAGCCACACCAGCTGTTGGAACTTCTTTTCTCGATCTCCTTCCTTTTAATTATTTCCTTCAACCCATGCTCACAAGTGGGGAGACCCAAAGGGACATAACTAATACAGCCTCTTCTCTCTCTCTCTCTCTCCAACATCAAGCTAGAAATCTAGACTCACATGGGACATAATAACGGCCATCGTCGCGACAATCGCGACACAGTGATTGACGTAGGTAAGCCGATGAATTTCACAGGGGGTCTTGAGTTCTCTAGCCTTACCTACACTGTGACATCGAAGAAGAAGATCGACGGGAACTGGATGAGCAAAGAAGTGGACTTGTTGCATAGGATTACTGGTTATGCGCCTAAGGGGTGCATCACCGCTGTCATGGGGCCTAGTGGTGCCGGGAAATCGACGTTCTTGGATGGGGTAGCAGGACGTATTGCGAGTGGCAGTCTCAAGGGCAGGGTGACCTTGGAAGGGGTGGAGATGAATGCAAGCTTGATCAAAAGGACTTCTGCATATATAATGCAGGACGACCGGCTCTTCCCTATGCTTACCGTGTATGAGACATTGATGTTTGCCGCTGATTTCAGGCTGGGGCCACTGTCAACAGCTGACAAAATGCAGCGCGTAGAGAAGCTTATCGAGCAGCTTGGCTTGTCTGTAAGTGTTTCTTTGCATGATTCTATGTTAAACTTGATGCATCTTCTTCAATAGCTGTCCAAAAAGAGTACTTCAGTTAGCTACTAGAATGCTTTTCAATGAGTTTTCGACTTTTAGTTATCTATGTAGAAGAATATGGTAAGAAACAATAGTTATGTATGTAACAACAGGAAGAAAAAAAAATTCTATTTCTCCTACGAAACATGTCTATCTGAGATTGCTTGATCTTGTAAGAGCAGGGAAAGAATTAAAGATCATACATGTAATCATATATACACACAGAAACATATAAAAATAATCTAACAAAATTAAATAAGTCATGTATTTGAAATTGCTTGGAATTGAATATGAAGTGGTATATATCTATTTCACCTAGAAAACTTGTCTATCCGAGATTGCTTAATCTTGTAAAAGCAGGGAAGAATTAAAGATCATGCACGTAAATCATTTATACACAGAGAGACTCGTATAAAGAATTTTGATCTTGTAAAAGCAGGGAAAGAATTAAAGATTATGCATGTAATCATATATACACACTGACAAATATTAAGAATCTTCTGAAATTAAACAAGTCACATGTACATGAAATTGCTTGGAATTTCATATTTGATACCATGACTGGCAAGAAAACACCATATTGTTTGTGATCACTGATCTTTGGTCCTTAATGACTGCTTTGGTTGTAGTATTCTCGAAACACTTACATAGGTGATGAAGGGACTCGAGGAGTGTCTGGTGGTGAACGTCGCAGAGTCTCCATCGGTGTGGACATCATCCATGGTCCATCTTTACTCTTCCTCGACGAGCCAACATCAGGACTAGACTCAACTAGTGCCCATAGTGTGATTGAGAAGGTGCAAGACATCGCGCGCTCTGGCAGCACTGTGATTCTCACAATCCACCAACCTTCATCCCGAATCCAACTGCTTCTTGACCATCTTATCATCCTGGCTCGTGGTCAGCTCATGTACCAAGGATCCCCAAAGGATGTGGCTCTCCATCTGGGCCGAATGGGACGCAAACTCCCAAAGGGGGAAAACTCAATAGAGTACCTTATTGATGTGATACAAGAGTATGATCAGTCTGAACTTGGAGTCGAGGCATTAGCTGACTTTGCTCTTACTGGTATGAAGCCCCCACCAATAGCCGATGAGGATATATCGGTTTCAACGGTCCCACCATCGCCAACCCCATCCCGCCATAACCGTCATCAGCTGGAAGGTCCGGATGACAAGGGGAGGGCCGGAAAGCGCCTTCACTTACAAACTGGTACACAGGATAGAGATTTTGATCATAGTGTTAGAAGTCCTTGGAATACATCTAGGTCATGGAGTGCCAGCCAGAGTGGGGTAATGCAAACACTGAAGTTTACACCAACTCGGCAGCGTACAGGTCATAACCTGGAGACCCCAATGAGGTAAACAATTCTATTTCAAAGCATGGTATTGTATAGTTAGTAAGTGCTATACTAGAATTTCTGTACAGAAACTTTACTCCTATCACTTTAATCAATGGACCATCAATGTGACTTCTAATATCAGAAACTTGTTTCAATCACACCTTGTAGAACCTAACTAAATCCTGTGAACTAACTTAGGTGCTCTCTGAATATTTGGATTTATGGTGTTTTGCAGTTCATCTCCAGGCTACTACACCTACTCAAAGGAAATTCTCTCAGGCACACCAACACCTCATAGCAGTGACTATACCGTCAATGAGAATGACTACCTGACCCCCAATATCGCCCCAACAAAGTCAAGCCAGCATGCAGGTCCAAAGTTTGCAAATTCTTTCTTCACCGAGACTTGGATTCTCATGCGCCGCAACTTTGTCAACATTTATCGCACCCCTGAGCTTTTCCTCTCTAGACTCGTAGTCCTCACTGTCATGGGCATTATGATGGCCACCATGTTCAAGAACCCTGAAAAAAACGCACAAGGGATTACAAATCGCCTCAGTTTCTTCATCTTCACAGTATGCCTCTTTTTCTTTTCTTCCAATGATGCTGTCCCAGCTTTCATTCAAGAACGCTTCATATTTGTTCGCGAGACTTCCCACAATGCCTATAGAGCCTCTTCCTACACCATTGCAGGTCTCATCACTTACCTCCCTTTTCTCGCTCTCCAGGCAGGAGTCTATGCTGGCATAGTTTGGTTTGCCTTGGAACTCCGTGGACCATTCCTCTATTTCCTGCTTGTTCTCTATATGTCTCTCCTTTCTACCAACTCATTTGTTGTCTTTGTGAGCTCAATTGTGCCGAACTATATACTGGGTTATGCAGCAGTCATTGCTTTCACTGCTCTCTTCTTCTTGTTTTGCGGCTACTTCTTGAATAGCCACGACATTCCACCATACTGGAAGTGGATGAACTGGATTTCCACTATGACATATCCGTATGAAGGACTTTTGATGAATCAGTATCAGACGTTCGACAGTTTTGGACAGAACCCAAACGGAGAGGAAGTGAGAGGGATTGACATCCTGGCAAAGTTGAATATTAAGACTGAGGAATCTAAGAAGTGGGAAAAGGTTTATATAATGTTAGGTTGGGCTATTCTATATAGGATTTTGTTTTACATAATTCTACGTTTTGGTTCAAAGAATCAGAGGACATAGAGATCATAATGGGAGAGGAGTGATCTTGAATTTGTTCATCAAACATAATTGTTAGTTCAAAATGAACTTTGTTACATATGTTCTTTCTTCATTTTTATGTGATAATATGATGATACATCCACGAACTGTTGTATGAAGAAACATTAAATAGTATTGACAGACAAAATTAACTGTCTAATTTTTACATGATATTGCTGTAATGTAATCAAACTGAAACTAGTTTTGGTATGCTTTTCATTCTTAAAGTCCTAGAGGAAAACATAGTGTTAAATGCTTAATGTTTATATTTTCATCCTAACTTTGTTCAATAGCCTTTATTTGGTAAGTATTAAACAAGTGCTTTATCGTAGTATATGTCCTGCCTACATGGAATACTGGAATATTAAGAGAAGAGTCGAGAAATTCCTGACTGAAACCTATCCTCATCCTTTTCAATCCGATCCTTCGCCATTGCATTATGCAATGACTCTAAACAGTTAATGATGGAAATTGCGAGGTAATTAAAGGTGGTTGAGAATAGAATCATAACAGCTCAGAAAATGTTGAGGAAATTGTACGATCAGCTATACTTCCTATGAATAATATTCATCGATGAAAGGGTACATTTTTTGTTGAAAGAAGCAGCTCCCTGAACATGTTCAGTTGGAGTTGATTTCTATAGCAAGAAGAAACAAGCATAGGTTATTGATACGCGGGCAATGAAATCTCTAACTGCTATAGCCTATGATTTGTTTAAGAGCCAAAACATCACATCTAAGCTTCTGCATCCCACACTGTTATCCTAGAGGAGGCTACAAGTTTCACAAGCAAAAAACAAATAATCATTACTTTGAGCAAGCCATCATCGATGCACTACCATCGAGTAATGTTCTAAATACCAAAATTTTAAAGGATCATCGATTAGTATTTCTGTGTAAAAATAGAAGTATATATATATATATATATATTATCTCATAAGTTTACTATATAACCACAATGTTCATAATATGAATTAAAATTCCAAGGATAAACACTCAGGTCAGTGGCCTGCATGCCATTTGATTTCAATATTTTATCAGATGCTTAGTGATATTGATTCTCGTTCTTATCATTTCTCAGGCTCAAATTGTTTAGTTTTTTCCATGAACTTTTTATTTTAACACAAATGACAAATAAATAGTAGTAGTAGAAATAAGTAAATAAAAAGAAGCAACATTTTAGCCAATACTGACAACCAAAAAAGTTAAATTCTTCGAATATTCCAACCTCCGTTAAAAACAATGATACGTCCACAGGCTAGCCAACATTAAATCTTCACTAATTAATAAAGTTTTCTAATATAATATGAGCATGACATGGAATCATTTATTCATAAGATATATAAACGAATCATATAATTAATCAGCTGCTTCAGAAAAAGAATCCTTAAGCTCATAGGGCCTATCGATTCATGCGAAGTGTTTAAGACCCTATATACAAGTTTATAAGCCAGGCGATTTACAGTTACTTTGTCGTTAAAGCAAACTATCTACTTGATCATTACCTTTTGGGGTCTTCTGCTTGGATGCTGCGTCAGAAGAATATATAATTAACCTACAGATTAAACTTTCAGCTTATACTGGTTAACACCAAATTAAGCATAAAAAAAGAACTTGCTACAAAAGTACCATATCACTAACACAACTCGAGTGAATGTTGTGTGGGATGATCAATCCAGTCCAAACTGAAGAGAAGTCTAGCAAAACCTTAGTGTCATACTAAGAAGCCAAGGCCAAAGTTGCGCTAAATGCTACACTCGTGATAATAATATTGGACCATCAATTAAACAGATTGACTGTTGCAGTTTTCAAAAATATTTTATGACAAGAGTGAGGAAGTGAGTTCCGGTGTAATAGTAGTAAGGCTGTAATGAACCGAGATGTTTGTGAGCAGCTTGGGCTTGGCTCGACATGGCTCGGTTTGTGTTCATTTGTTTCATAAACAAATCGCACAAATTTTTAGGCTCGTCTATTAAACTAACCGAGCTCAAACACCTCTTTATTGGGCTCGTTTGTATAAAATAAAAAATAAAAAACAATAATGAACAAACCCAAGGGCTTGTAACAAACGAACCAAGTTCAAACAAACATTCATGAATAGAGTTTTGAATTCATGAAGTTATTTTTGGAATAAATATATTAAAACAAACAAATTTCACAAAAACAGTAAGTCAGTAAGGCCCGATCAATGTGTCGATCAATCAACAATTCCCAAAAAAATTATATCAAATCCAAAATGCTTTGACCGAAAGCTAGATCGAGGGAAGCAATGCCCGTGTGACTGGATCAATAGGCCGATCGATCAAACTGTGCAGGAACAGTTTTGGAAACTTCTCCAAATCAGAATCCGGGAAGGCTTAGGTTTCTTTTTCTGATAATAACTAAGAAACCCTAATTCCTTTAGACTCAAAGCACTACATAAAAACATATAGGATCTAATGAACATAGAGAAATATACAGAGAGATCTCTACACACATTATTGGGATAATAATATAAAGCGAGAGATTCTATAGAGAGCATATGACTTACAAACTGGATTGTGCAGAATATTGTGCAAAATGTAAAGAATTCCCATAACTAATGCCAAAACATTAGTAAATCTACTGAAATTTTCTTACATTAAGGAGCAACAGTTTTCCATTCATTCAACTACTTAGAAAAGACAAATCCGCATATGACAAGGTCAAAAAGCTAGCTGGAAGATCCAGAGCAATATTTCTCAATTATATTACATGAAAATATCAGTTACATAAAAGAACTCGGAGATGTACCCCATAGAAAAAGTTAAAAAGGCAAAAAATAAAGCATGAAAAAAATGGTTACAAGAATTTCAAACTGGATTCCAGAGCCAAGCAACCTCTTCAAAATACAGATACGAGGTGTTTACAGTAGAGCTAATTTTCTCAACAAGGACACAATCCAGTAAACATCAGGTAGTAAACAGAGAAGGGTTGGCTGTCGCAGTACTAACTTGGACTTCAAGCAGTTCTAGTCGACGCTCTAGTGTATCAAGCTTCTCATTCAATGATGCTAATTTGCTCTTTGTTGTAGCCTCTGAAAGATGAAAAATAAATGATATTATAATTAAAGTCATTATATTCTAAATCCTATTAAATGCAACCTTCTTTGCAGAAACTATTCAAATGTAAAGTTGACGAGGATCATAAATCTCGATATTGAATTCAAAGCATGTCACTACGCTCCATGACACATACATTTTTGAACCCATAGAAGAATTTCGGCAAACAAATTTCTCATGCTCGAAGAGAAAGTCATATATGCAAGCAGGGTTCAAATGGGGCTGGATCTGCAAATTGTATCATGGAAACCAGAAGCCCAGTCGTTAGATCATAATTTTAAGTGTAGACTAATCGAGGACAACCATCTTTGGAGACATCAAACTCAAGAACAAATCTGACATTTAATGCTATAGGATGGGCTGAATGAGATCCAAGGGACTTGGAATGAGCAGACTATCAAACGGAGCTAAGGTAGACATCCTTTGAACTGAGCTACATACAGACTAAGATCGAGCTCACACTGCCCTCTAGGAATCCTGAGTTTGATTTGGTAAGTTCACCCATAAAACACAAAAGAGTTATATTGTTACATTACGGGACAATACTTCCCAATGTACTCGTCCTTGCGTGAATTCGATAATCATCCACAAAGCATTTCAAAATCAACTTCTCTGCAATTCAAGAGTGAAAATTTGATTCGTTTTTTGTTCTTCTAATCTCAAAAATAAATAAATAAATTGTGCCAAGTTCCCAAAAAGAGTTCAAGTAGTGAAATTGAAGTTTTGCATTATATTCCTGTAGATGAAGACCAGATAATAAGATATATAATTCAAGGAGATGACTTCCCACCAAAAAGTATCATAACAGAAGGGTCGAAAGAATCACTGAAGCAATCAAATTGATAAGTTCATTTCATACTAATTTACCCTAAGAGGACCAAATCACACCATATAACTTCAAAATATACAATTGAAGCATATTCTAAGCAAATCTCGGTTCATAAAGGATACAAACAAATCAAAGACAGACAAATTGGGAAATTAACCTCTGTAACATGGATTTATAACCATAACATTCCAAATACATGAATACACATATAGATGCACATTTATTTAAAAAAAAAATAAAATGGAGAAAATTCGTAGGATCGTCAACACCAATTCAAATGCCGATTACTACACTGCAATCATTCATATCAAAATTTTCGATAATGGTCTTAAAAGAAGATAAAGAATATTAATATTGATGAGATTTGAGGAAGAAGAGAGAGAGAGAGAGATTAGGAGTGAAAAGAGGGTTTAGTTTACCAAATTGGACGAGGAAGTCGAAGAGACGACGGACGTTGAGGGATATGTGAGATATGAACTCTCGATTCTCCCAATCTGCTTGCACTGCTATCCCAACGTTCACTGCGTTCGTTATTCCCCCAGCTCGAGCCATTATCTTTAGAGAGAGAAAGAGAAGAGTTTTAGAGAGAGAGAGAGACAGTGGTGGTCTTCTGTTCGACGAGAAAGTCTACAATACTGTCAAATTGAAATTATATGAATATATATATATATATATAATCTTAGTGTTGGGTGGGTTTATTGGCGGTTGAATTGTTTTTATCAACCTAATCTTAGTTACTAGAACAAAGTTCACACCACAATGCTTGTTTGATAAGCCCTTAGTTTTTATTTTTATCAGGTATTGTATAGCAGTTTTTTTAAAAAAATATAGTGTTTGATAAAAATATATATATAGTTAAAAAGTGAAAACCCTGATATTTTATATGTTTTTGTACGTACCTAAAAAAAAAAAAATTTGAAATGAGCTTTTTAAAGTAGTCATATTTTTAAAATTTGTAATACTTTTTGACAAAATATATTTTTATCTTTTTACTTTAAAAAATTTATAATAAATAAACGTTACTAAACATACTTTTGATTACTATTCAAAGCACCATACAACAAAAGAATATCATCCTTATTATGAAACATGATATTTGAATAAGGATCTTTTCATGTGTCTTTTTTATTCAATTACATCACCAATAAAATAGGGTCAATATAGTAACTTTAAATTGTTAATACAATAATAATAGAGATGCGATATTTACGCTTCATTTTTCAACGTTTGAACTACAATATTAAACAAAATAACAATTTTAACCTTAATTTTATAAATAAATAATTATTACTTTTTAAATGACACAACTACCTTTTCAAAAAAAAAAATTGTTACTTTTTAATATTTTAGATCTTTTTTGACAAGACAAAAAAATAATAATCAAAAAAAAAACATTTTGGACAAAAAAAAAATTATGTTAGAATAAATTACTTCTTTTGACCGGACCAAAACAATAAAATGTAACTATTAAAAAATTTATCTCTTTTGTCATGATCCAAAAAAAACAAAAAATCGGTATTTTTTTTTTACATGACCTATGAAAAATTACTAAAAAAAAGTTAAAGGGTAGTTATTAACTGAAAAATTAAGGAATTATGCATTCATAAATTTAAGGACCTTCTTATCATTCCTTTAAAAGAAAAAGGTAAATGGAGTACAATTGGAGAAAAATTGAATGTGCCTCCCTAATAATATAAATACTTTAAATTCTTAATTTAAAAGTGTTGCATAGTTGCAATATTATATAAATGTTGCATCTTTAACTTAAATATATTGGATAAATATTACATGTTGCCGTGATATAGTGTATTGCTTGATGAGATATTCACCTCAATTGTATTAACTTGCATTGGCACTTGCTCTGTGCGGAGAAGGAAGTGTCACAAATGTGGTTTACGTTTTCGTAGTGCAAAAGTATCTGAAAAACTTTCTTATGTTCCGTATTTAGATACTACATATCATTATGTCATTAGAAAATTGAAATATCTTTTGTAAAATAAATATCTTTTCTGAAAAATCTAAACTTTTTAAGAATTGAGTTTTAATATTTTTTTTAATTATATTAATAGTAAATGAATTATTACATTTATTCATAATGTGATTTATTTTTAATAAGTTCAATTTAATATAAATGGTATGTTATAAAAAATAGTATTTTGACTTTTTGAATGAGACATTTATTTTGGCATAGACAAAAATAAAGAGGTGGATATTGATTTTGAGACAAGGGGTGCACAACAAAAAAATTTTAAGGTAAATTATACTGACCTCCCCCAAATTTTGTCATAATTACAAGGCTCTCCTCCACTATTTTAAAAACAATCTTGGCTTTCCTAAAAGACAAACCTTGATCAAGGACGAAAATTGCTGATGTCATCACCTTATCTTACTAATATGTCAGCATTACCCATAGTGGAACTAAAAGACTATTTGAACCTTGTAAAGTCATGTGACATTACAAAAATGTCCTTGTAATGTAACACACTCCCTCGACGCCTTGTATCAGAGACTTTCTTTTTGAATGGCAACAACATTAGAAACTGAAGTGATTTTGTTAGTGCCGAAAGATTTAAATATTTAAGTTACGACCTCTCTATTAATTTAAATTTTTAGAGCATAATTATTAACATGATATCAAAATCAAAGGTCTCGAGTTCAAATCTGACCGTCAACTTGAAAGTTTAAAATTAAAACACTTGTTGAACCAAAAAAAACGCCACACGTGAAAAAATGCGTTGAAAGATTTAAATATTTAAATTACACCATCTCTAATAAATAACGAAAGATGAAATGTTAAAGTTAAATGTTCACCACCAAACAAAACTAGAATCAAAGATATCCACCACAACATACATACACACACAATCACACGCAAAATGAGGTTTTAGTCAAATGTTCAATCACCAAACGAAACTAGATTCAAAGATATCCTCTACTACATATTTATAACCATTCATGTAGTTGTGCCACTGGCGGTGGAAGTTCATACCTACGAAACAAGTACATGAATGGTTTACTGGAATTCCATTCTAGATTTCATTGCATAAACCCCAACTCTGCCATGTTTAAAAGAAAGGTTGCCTCTAGTCAATTTTTTTTTTCTTTTTATTTTAATTTTAATTTTTTCAAGTGTGTTGTGGGGGGGGGGGGGGGGGGGGATTTCATCTTTTGCTATTTGAAAGCATTTAAGTAAAATATGCAAATCCGCCTATCACTACTAGGGGAGGTCCGTGTTACATGGTTCGCATTTTAGTTTTAGGGGATGTCAAAGTAATTCTTAAAACGATAGGCCAAGTCCAAGTAATTATGGCAAACCTCAAGGAAAGTTGGTGTAATTTACCCAAAATTTCAATATAAAAAAAAAGGAAGAAATACCATCACCTGCACAATGAATAAGACCTAGCACCATAGTTATCCTAACTGGTATTCAGATGTGTGTGTGTGTGTGTGTGTGTGTGTGTGTGTGTGTGTGTGTGTGTGAGAGAGAGAGAGAGAGAGAGAGAGAGAGGTGCTTCTGTTGTTGAAAGGGCAAAAAGCCACTTCTGTTCTTTTATTAAGCACTTCATAAAGTTCATTTTTGCACACTAATTGTAGGCAGTAGAATTGTACTTCAGTCTAAATGTAGTAAAACCATGAACTAGTTAAACTAGGATGGAAACTTCCAGGTCCCTAAAAAACCTGTAAACCAACTAAACAGAAATTCACCATAAGAACTTAGGCTGTGACTGGTAATAGCCCATTGTGCCTGAGCAGTGCCTCTGGAGAAGGTTCGCGCCCTCGGAATTCCACAAAAACCTGGATATAGCATTTCAACATGTTATGAACGATAGGTCAATAAAGTTTTGAGAGAAAAAATATTATAAATGAAACGAGTATGTGTTGGAGAGAAAACTAATGTGGCAACACCACACCTGTGAAAAACTAGGGGCATTCCAAGCTTCTCCAACCAAGAAAATATAATAGAAATTTACGAGAAAATATACAATTTTTTCTTGTCTAACCTCGAGTGGTGCTTTCCCACCTCCAAGAGCAAGTACCGTTTCTCGGAACTTGTGTCCTTTTTCTTTAATGGCCTGTTGTAAGACAAAATATTAGATGCCCTTCGCAAATATTTCTGAAATATGCATATTTTGTATCAAAGGTATTGAAAGATTGAGAAACAATTACTCGATAGATAGAGATAGAGATAGAGATAGAGATATTTTCAAAAGCTGTTAACTAGAGCATATTACAAAAATGCATATATTGTTCATGAGAGCTTGACATGTATTTCTGGGCTTATTCTTTAACAGGTTTATGCTTTCAGCCTCTGTTTTTGCCATTTGTTCAAAGCTGTTGACTAAAGCATGATACAAAAATGCATATATTGTTTATCAGAGCTTGATATGTATTTCTGGGCTCATTCTTTAACAGGTTTTATGCTTTCAAGGTAACTGCTAATCTAACATAGTATCAAAGCTTTGGGTTCTGGAAGGTCTTTGATTAAAGTCACCATATCTGCCTCTGTTTTTGCCTTTTGTTCAACTTACCCTTAGTTCTACCTAGTCTGTGAATTTGCTTCGCCAAGTGCAAGACAAGATGCAAGTGATGATGTGAAAGTAAGATAGTTCATTGTTCGACTCATTCCTCAACGGATTAAATTTTTCAAGAACTCATGACCTAACTTTGAAGTATCTGCACTGCACTATATTTTTTTTCATAAGTAAAGATGTATTAGAAAGCATTCAAAAGGGGAACGCATCCCAAAGCTACGCAAAGGCCAAGGCCAAGAGGAATCCTAAGGACCAAAGGAACCCAAAAAATCAACTCTCCTCTCTACAGAATAAAATTTCTTCCCATAACTAGAGGAGATCAAGTGAGGGAAAACTAGGTATAGCACCAACTAATGATTAAATTTGAAAGACTATACTTGGCTAGTATGGTAAAATACAACGTAGATCCCAAGATGCACCAATTAGAAGATAAAGGATTTTTTGCCTAAAGAAGCTGACCAAAACTTACATAAAATGAAGTAATTCAAAATGATTGTAAATTTTAAATATTAGAAGAGACATGGTATGGATGATGATGAGTGATTATATCAGCAAAATTTGGGTAAGGCTGATGCTTGAGTTTTATTCAAGCAACAAACTAGCATTATACATCCACACTAAGTTCTCTAAACTCAAAGACTTGCATGATTGACAACATTTCATCACATAAGAAAGTTAGACAAACTTAAAAGTGACATAATAACCAGCGGGCCAGTGGCCTAACGGTATCAGGTCCTTACTTCTCAAAGGGAGGTCAATGATTCAAGCCTTAGTGGAGGCATGTGTGTGTGAGTACCAACTAAGAAGACAAAAAAGTGATATAATATTCATATCAGTGTCCCCCAAGTTGGTTTTGGTAGAAAAACACTCCTTGTGTGCCGAGTAACACAGCTGAATTTAAACATCCACTAAACAGAACACACATATAATTTTAGCCCATCAGAGCATGAAAAAATGGTTCCCCAAGTTGGTTGAAAAACAGTGTGTGCTGAGTACAACAGCTGAATTTAAACACCAACTAAAAATAACATACACAAATAACTGTAGCCCAATAGAGCATGAAAAAATGGTCAACTGAACCCCTCTAATATAAAGATGCATTTTAGTATCCAAAGTATAATTCAGTCAGTAAACTAAGAAGACCTTTAAAAGCAATAATATAGAACAAGTAATCACAAGAATTTTAAATACTTGTTCAAAATCTATTATTTAACTCAATGAAGCAACATAGTACACAAATCCCTTTTCAACATCGAGTCAAACAAGCAAAACAAGTGACAACAAAGAACATGGAAACCAAAAACAACAGCAACAATAAAAAAACAATGAAATTTATATCCAATGAACAAACTAAACACCCCGCATAGGGTCAATTTGTGTGCTCTAATGCAACAACTCTTGTTAAAAATCCTCCAAGAGATATCTAAATGCCCCACCAGTTTCTATAAAATATTAAATATATAGTATAGAATTGTTATGGAAAGCTCACTTTATTATCATAAATTATAAATATAAATCGGAGAGAGAAAGATGAGCGTAGTATGAAGACACATCATTAGATAAGTGTAGTATGAAGACACATCATTTTTACCAGCTATATAATGAATAAAAATAGAAAGGAATTTTCGAAAAATCCAGGCAATACAAAATGCAATCCTTTTGAACAGCTTTTTCCCTCGTACCTTCTCGTCATCTAATCCGGCATCCTCAAATGCTGAGAAAGCATCTGCTGACAACACCTCTGCCCACTGCAAAATTTGAATACTACTATCAAGAATCATTAAATAAAAGGAAGCTATATCTAGATCCATTCCGTAGTAACAAAAATGTCACAATGTATGACATATCTAATTTAGTTAGCAAGCTATAACTAGGCTTTAGCAAGACACCCACAAAGACAACAAAAATCAACAACAGCATCAGAGAGAGAAAGCATGAAAAGGTGAAAGCAGTAATGGTAACAGAAAAAGGAGAAGGTATAAATTATAAACAATAGCTAAAATAATAAAAAAAACTAAAACCATAATCCAATTGAAAATGCAAACAAAAAGACAAAACATAATACTACAATTATAAAAAAATAAAAGGAAAAACGAATGAGAAACAAATAGTTACCTTGTAACTGTAATATCCAGCTGCATATCCACCTGATAATCATCCCCCACCCACACAAACAATTAAATAAGTAAATTGAAAAAGAAAAAAGCGAAGAGAGACACTATAAGCAAAGCTTGCACCTAAAGAAGAATCACACATATTGCCAATAAAGACAATGTTTATTACTATAAGGGAGAACAAACCTGCAAATATATGACTGAAACTGCAAAGGAACCTGTCCTCTGGCAATGGGGGGAGCACTTGTGTTCTTTTAGTTACCCTCTGATCAACATCATATATTGATTCGGATCCACCAAGAACATACTTGGTGTGCAACTCCAGATCAATACCCGAGAATCTTAACTACAAAACATAATAGGATGACAATATAATATAATTCCTGCCATATACTCAAAGACTGTTGAATAATTCATTTATTTCCACCCTTGAAGCCATTTTCTTTAATCACTGAAATATAGAAAGATATGGACAAACAGGCAACCTATGTGTCGTTCAAAAAAGTAGTGCACCATTCAGATGAAGGATAATGAAACAGGAATTAAGGGGTTCTCATTTTCCAATTTCAGAGGGAAAAATGTACTTCTAATAAGAACTGTCATCATCAAACCTAATCAGAATCTATAGCCAAATTCTTACATTTCCAACAATGTCTCAAACTTACTGAAAGTTGATACATGACAGAAGAAGGGCATGGGTAGGGTGATGTGCAAATCAACATGTTACTATGGAGTCCACCTAAAAGGTTTTTGATTGATAAGTATTAAGCATGCAAATCGTAAGTTATAAATAAAAATGTCATTGCCATGATCAAATATCAGCCCATCAATCAGGATGCTGGGAAGAATGACATGGCCCCATCCTTGTTAAAAGGAAGTGTCTTCAGTCACTCTTCACCATCCAAGTCTATGTCCTCGTAGTTGACATATATGAAGTATGTTCTCTCACTAAATTAGACTAACCGTTACAAAGCCATTTGACAAAATTTGCTCATCTTTTTTTTAGGCCTTCGACAATTACAAGGACCTCCTCCATCCCAAAGAAATTTCGCTGCAATTTATTCTTGAATTGGATGTAGCCAGCAACATCCCATCCATTTCGATATTTTAAAAAATGTATAGTTCATTTGCTTTCCACAATACTTGAAACAAGTTATACTGTTGTAAAGCATAAAACACGAGTGGAGAGAGAAATTAAACAAGAAGAATAAGGAGATTACGTGGCTCTGCCACTAGGGCCTACATCCACAGCACAAAGAACCCAAAGGGCTACATCACTTTTATAATACTCTCTCAACTCATTAAACGAATAAAATGGTGGAGGCTCCTTTATATAGGAGAAGAAATGATGAGAATGGAAAGAGATGGAAAATAGGAGAGGAGGAGGATTTTTCTCCACTGATTCCTATAATAACAACAAATCTTCAATAATACATCCACAGCCCAAAGAGCCCAAAGGGCTACATCACTTTTATAATACTCTCTCAACTCATTAAACAATACAATGGTGGAGGCTCCTTTATATAGGAGAATAAATGATGAGGATGGAAAGAGATAGAAAATAGGAAACAAGGAGGATTTTTCTCCACTGATTCCTATAGTAACAACAAATCTTCAATAATAGGAAACTACATCAATTATTGAGGATTTTCCTCCACTGATTCCTCTATTAAATCTTCAATACTCCCTTTCAAGTTGGAGCATGAATGCCCAACTTGCCATTGAGATGATGAGTAGTAGCAAGTGCGAATGATGAAGAGGGGAGAGAAGGCGAAGAACAATGCTATCAAACACACCAGCATCCCAAACAAGTCAACAAAAATTGCCGAAGACACGGTAAAGGCAAAGAACAATGCTACCGAACACACTGGCAGCCCAAACAAGTCAATAAAAACTGTCGGAGACACGACAAAGGTGAAGAACAATTCTACTGAACACACCAGCAGCCCAAACAAGTCACAAATAGCACCAAGAAGCACTTAGAAACATTTCATATGCTAAGGAAATACCCCAAAATAGGGGTCTGAACCTAGGAAGAGAAAGTAGGTTTTGATACCATGTTGTAAAGTATAAAACATGTGTGGAGAAATTAAACGAGAAAAACATTAGTGTGCATAAATGGAATGGAATGCTCATTCCTTTGGTATACAATTTAAAATGGGAATGACCATTCCATTAGAATGAAAATCCATTCCACAACTAAACCTATGGGATGGGGATTCCATTCCCAAGTAAATTTTTTTTGAAAAATCAAGTTCCCAAAAAACCTGATATTCCAAGGTTTAAAAATCACACCCACCATTGCCTTCCATCACCACCACCTTCCACCACAACCATAACCACCTTTCACTACCGCCACCGCCATTGTCTTCCACCACCGTCACTACCATTGCCATTGCCACTGCCACCGCCACCATTGTTGTCGCCTTCAACCACCACACCGCTGCTACCTCTACTGCCTTCCACCACCACCAAACCTTTAACCACCGCCACCTCAATTGCCTTCCACCACCGCCACCTCCATTGCCTTCCACCACCGTCATTGTCACCATTACTGCCACCATTGCCATCGCCGTAACCACCACTGCATTCCACCGCTGCCCCCTTTCCACCACCACCACCTACACCACTGCCGCCTTCCACCACTGCCACCATCCTCACTGCCACCGCCACCATTGTCGTCACCTTCCACTACCACCACACTGCGGCCACCGCCTTCTGCCACTGCCATTGACTTCCACTACCACCACATCCACGACCTTCCACCACCGCCACAGCCGTCACCTCCACTGCTTCCATCACCACCACCACCTACGCTACTGCTGCTTTCCACCAACACCACACCACTGCCATCGCCACAGCCTTCCACCATTATAACCTACACCACTAACACATTCCACCACTTTCACTGCTTCCACCACCGCCACCGCCACCGCCACCGCCTTCCACCAACACCGCTGCCGCTGCCGCCTCCTTCCAACACTACCACCTATACCATTACCGCTTTCCACCTCCACCACCTTCGTCACCGCTATCCACCACCACTGCCATTTCTTTTAAAACAATTATATAAGAATATTATTTTGTTAATTTAATTTATTTGGCAAAAATAAGGGTATTTTAGAGAATTTAATTTGAAATTCATTCCATTGCAAGTTTTAAATTGGTCCAACCAAACACTAGAATGGTTATTATCATTTCATTCATACACGTTTCATATTTGCAACCAAACAATAGAAATGATAATGACCATTACATTCCATTTCCACTTGTATTTCATTCCATTCCATTCCATTCCTATTGCCTTCAACCATCATAACCTACACCACTAACACATTCCACCACTTTCACTGCTTCCACCACCGCCACTGCCACCGCCTTCCACCAACACCACTCCGTTGCCGCCTCCTTCCAACACTATCACCTATACCATTACTGCTTTCCACCTCCACCACCACTGCCATTTCTTTTAAAACAAGAATATTATTTTGTTAATTTAATTTATTTTAATTTGAAATTCATTCCATTCTAAGTTTTAAATTGGTCCAACCAAACACTAGAATGGTTATTATCATTTCATTCCTGCACGTTTCATATTTGCAACCAAACAATAGAAATGATAATTACCATTACATTCCATTTCCACTTGCATTTCATTCAATTCTATTCCTGCATACCAAACACATCATAAATCTAAAATCTAGTGGCCTCTGACAAAAGCGTTTTGAGAATCTAAAATGACCTCATCCAAAACCTCCCTCAATCACAAGGCAAGGATGGGAGTGAAACGCATGAAAAGTTCCTATCACCTCCCCCCTAACCACCTCCAACTCTCAAGGAGGAATCTCATAGAGAAACCATCGGGACCCGGGGCTTTGTCCCCATTATAGCTCTTTAACTTCTTGCTTCTTTTTTAATACCCAACACAGTGGTCCGTATAAGATAAAGAGACTTAAGCTTGATGTGAGAAAATATTAATAAAGGAAAGCATTAAGCCCAATATGGGCATACCTCATAACTCTAAACGTTTTCTTAAAGTTGGAATCCGAAACAGATAAAGCAATTGCACAAGTCCAGAACCAGTAATAATTCAAAATTTTGGACTTGACCCATGCTTTTTTGCCATGTTTTGGGGCCAATACAATGCAACTGGCCAAACATCAGTCTATAATGGATTCTGACCATAGTGATAATCACTGAATCACCGCATATATTGTATCAGACTATTAGAAGAGTTGATTACATTAAGGTTAAGCCAGTGTGACGGACTTTTCCACCATTTTAAAATTTGCAAAATATTATGATATTTTTACATTAGAGAATTCAGTGCGCTATTGCATATCAGAATATTAAATTCAACGTACCTGCAGTGGAAGTTGAGTTTTTCTGCTTCTTCATTTATTTATTTATGACAATGCAATTGAGATGTTAGTAACTATTACTCTGAATAAGTCCCTTTTCCCATTTGGCAATGCAAACTTATTTACTTCAGTTGAAATCACAAAACCTATCTGATGGCATTTTGTTTCTAGACACAAGATTGCTAGATCTTTTCCTTGAAAAGGGGATGGGTAGCATAAAACTTGTTAAAAAAAATGCAGAAACTCAATACTAAAACCATATAAGTAATTCAGAAATGCTACACCAAAACTAAAATGCAAAAATAATCAGGAAATCAAAACCAACATCATGCACCAACCTGACGAAGACTATTGGAGCCTGCACGATACGTGCGAGCTGCAAGGAGCTTCAGATATATATCTTCAGGGAGACTTTCCCCAGTTTCATAGTGCTTCGCAATGCCCATCAAAGTATTTCTGCAGCAGTCATTAAAAAAGAAAAAGAAAAAGGGTAATGACAGCGCACAACAACAATATACCATAGATTGCATACTGTTTTCATCATATTGAAGAAACAGAACAAAAATTCCTACTTCAGGTGTCAAAAACATTTATATACTTATAAAGGATGAGTATCACCACCAAGAAAATTCTTGAGGAGGAGTAGTTATTCATAAACCATAGAGGGAGTAACCAGCCAACTGGAAAATGAAGCCTTGTAAGGACATATTTTGCGTGTTATCTTAGGTTTACTGCTATCTTGGTAATAAATTAGAATTGGAAAGAAAAATTCGCATTCAAAGAAATTGCAGAAGATCCACTGGTGAAGATTGCCACTTTTTGTGTTAGTTGATTGATCATTTCATAAAATTAGACCTGAACATTTTTGCTTTAATTATGTTGAACTGGAAAAATTAAATAAATAAATTGGAATGAGACCACAGAATATGCTATTTGTTGATGATAATGTTTTGATTGATGAAACTAACGCGAGGATATATAAGTGCTAAACAGCTAAAGTAACGTTTTAAAGAGAGCAATACTTTTACTAAGAAGGTGATGGTGAGACTAAGGCTTGGGCTTGGAAGGTATTTTGTAGACCGAACGAGGCTGCCTTGCCTTTCCATTGACGGGGAGGTTAAGAGTTTCGTTGTCGGTGAGAGGCCATGGCCTCAAGATTGATGATAGGAGTATATGGAAGAGATGGCAGATGCTTTCAATCATGTCTTGCGGGAAAGTTTGACAAAGAGGTGAGATCCTTGGAACATATCGGAGCATGGGCATTGAGGGTGTGGAAGGTTGCATTTTGTGTTATAGTGTCTGTTCTGCGGAATTTCTTGCTGCTGTTCAGACTACCATCGCACCAGGAGGCGATTGGGGTGTTGATGGAGGGAAAAAGAGTTTGGGGAAAACAATACCGAGACTGGATGTGTGGTCATTCCGAGTGGGGTGCTTTGGCATATTGAGGAAGAGGAAGGAGCGGCAGATTTTGTTGTATGGGCTGTCGCCGACACCATTTGAGGGATCAATGATTTGTGTAAAGGATGAAGGTCAAACTCCAATGCATATAATGGTGGAGGATGATAGTTTATGCCATTGAGTGGCACTAGTGGAGGAAAAGTTGCTGGAGCTTGTACCAACAATGGAATTCATTGCCGGCAGGTATGAGAATTATTTGATGCTGGACTCTGGAGGAGTGGTGGCGATGCAGGGGTAACTGAGGAATATATGATATAATAAATGTGTTGCAAAGCTTGCAGAATGTCGCCGAGGGAGGGACTCAATTATCGTGGTCGCTGGGAGACAGATGGCTGATGGGGGATTTCAAAATTCAGTAGGTCACATGACGGAGAGGGTTTTTTTTAGAATTCAGCGGACTGTGCCTTGAAGCTTTGGGTTTAAAACAAATGGGGAAATGAGCAGGAGCATGTTGCCCCAGTCACAGACCCAATTTTAAGGTCGAGAGCTAAGGTAGAGTGACCACTTATCTCCAAGAACAAATCACTAATCAAGACAAAAAAAGTAAACAAGCCACACACAAAGAACACAAAGATTTAGCGTCGTTCGACACAAGTTGTGACAATGTCCACATGAAGATCCGGCGAAAGTTCACTATGCGAAAAATAGGATATTAAAATTTTCAACCCCCAAACCCCAGCTCTCGCTCTGACTCTCCTTCTCTGCGATTTTCAGTGCTCTCGCTACCCACTCCAAACCCCAAGCGCCTTATATACCGGGCTACAAAAGAGTACCAAACAGGGTCCACGATCCACAAGTAGAAAAACAGGTCAAAAAAATTTCCCGAGGCGCTGCCCCTTAATCATCGGGTCGCAACATGACCCAGAGCCAAATTCGGACCACAACACCAGTGATAGAGGTCCTCTTAACCAGTTTGAGGTAAGTCACCTCTTTGCCAATGATACCATTGTTTTTTGTGAGGTGGTGAAAGAGCAATTGAGGTAGCTGAGGTGTGTGTTAGTATGCTTTCAAGCAGTCTCTGAATTGAAGATCAATATTGGGAAGAGCAAGATGGTGCTGGTGGGGTAGGTACAAAAGAGAGTTGCTTTGGCCAATATTATGTCTTGTGGTGTTGTGGCCTTCCAGTGACATATTTGGGATTGCCTTTAGAAGCTTCATCCATGATGGTGTCTACACGGGATCAGGTTGTGGAGCGTTTTGTGAAGATACTTGCAGGTTAGAAAGCAACATACTTGGCAAAAATGAAAAATAAAAAATCTCTCGAGATTAGGGATGCATAACTCCAGTTAAGAGTACATTCTCAGGCCTTCCAAGTTACTTCCTTTCGTGGTTATAGATTCCCTCTTCGTTAGTGAAGAGGATTGAGAAGTTACAAGGATATTTTCTTTGAGACATAATGGGTGATGAATTTACATTTCATTTGGCGAACTGGAAAAAGGTGTGCAGCTCTATCCAGTTAGGGGGATTGGGTCTGAGGAGGTTTGATTTGTTCAATAAAGCATTGATGGGTAAATGGCTTTTATGGTATGGTGTGGAGAAAAAGAATGTAGAGGAGGCTTGCAGAGAGTAAAGTTGGGAGGATAGTTGTGGTTGGAGCTGTAAGGAGGTGAATTCTCCAAAAGAAATGGGAGTTTGAAATTTCATTTGGAATAAGCTTTCAAAGCATGTTCGGTTCAAGGTGAGGAGTCGGAGACATTCACGATTTTGAGTGGACACTTGGCCTGGGGTAGACCACTTGCGTGCACCTTTTCGAGATTATTCAGGATAGTGGTGGATAAACAGATTTTGGTTGACAACTGTTATCGTCCTGATAACGAGAGGATGACATGTGACGTGTAGTTTAAGTGGTATCTTCAAGACCGGAAGATGAAGGATATAAATGCGTTCTTGGCTCTTCTGCATCAACAAAAAGTGGATGGGGAGGGGCAGGATGAGTTGATCTTGGTGGGATCCTGGCATGGGGGTCTTTGAGGTGCAATCATTTTATGAGAAACTCTAGGATGCTTGGGGCTCTACCTTCCCTTGAGAGGCAGTTTGGAGATCAAAAGTCCATCTAAAGGTGGCCCTTTTTTTTTTTTTTTGGGTGGGCAGCAGCCTTGAGTAGGATTTTGACAATTGATCATTTTCGAAGGATGCATCAGATCCGGTAACATATCTGCAAAAGGGATGAGAAGTCAGTGAACCATCTCCTTTTGCATTGCCCGGTGACTAGGGATGCCTAGTCCATGCTTTTCGCTATTTTTGTTCATTGGGTTGCATCGGACACCACAATGGGCATGATCGAGACTTGAAGGGGGTGTAAAGGGGGTAGTCAAGTCCGAGCCACTTGGAGGGCAACTTCCCTCTGCTAGTAGTGGGGTTTGCGGTGTGATAGGAAAGGGAGATCCTTTGAAGGAGATGAAGCTCCTATTTGGATGCTAAAACACTCCCATCTTTAGTTCTCTATTTTTATTTTTTTTATTAAAGGGATGACAATGTAAAATTATGGAGGACTTCATAGATTTTGTGGATAGTTTGAGATTATAGTGGCTTTTGTGCAGTTGTTCTTTGGCGAGCTCCCCTTTCGCGTTCTTTAATCAAATCTTATATATGAAAAATAAATAAAAATAGTAATCATATAAGAAGTGAAAAAGAGAATCATTTAAAAAATTCAAATGAAATTATAGTGAAGCAACATTACCTATGATAACACCAATTTTCCATGAATTGAGAGGGCAATTCAACAGCATCCCACTCGATGCCTCGAATACCAGAAATCATACTCTCATCTTGCTTGGTCAACATATGCTGAAGAGCATGACCAAATTCATGGAAAACAGTCTCCACCTGCAAATAGTGTTGGCAATTAACAATTAAGAATATAACAAGCTGTTTGTGCAAATATTCGAACATATATACAAAGCATTTTAAAAAATTCACTCAAAATATTGTCTTACCAAATGATAATAATTTTTCATTAGGCTAATATTTCTGGAAGTCTAAACCAGACCTAACCCATTTGAAACCACCAGGCATAACTAACATAACCATACATCATCTGACTTACTGGGCTAAGCTGCTGATTGCATCCCCAGATTCGTTCATGCTTTTAATCAGTTTAAGCACTAAAATTTCTAGCCACTCAAGTAAAAAGCTAACATGCCTACCTCACGGAATGTCATGAGACTTGGCTTGTCCCCTACTGGTGGCATTTGATTACACACCATGTGGGCAACAGGCAATCTAACAGAAGCACCGTCACGTGATAAAACACGACTTCGAGAAAGGACCTCATTCATCCAAGCACCTCCATTTTTTTCAGATGGACGAGAATATGGATCAAAATAGAAGTAAGCAACTGGACTGCCTGAGGAATCTTTGACACAGTAGAATCTAACATCATGGTTCCAAACCTAGAGAGAAATAAACTATTAAAAATCAGAATGTCAAACCATACTCTAAATAACAAGTAGAAAAAACTGAAGAAAGGAAGTAATCCAAATTATTACCGGAGCTAACCCGTCAGCTGGCTCAATAACTATCCCGAAAAGCATCTTTGCAAGGTTGAAAAGTCCATCCATAACTTTAGGCAATGAGAAATATGGGCGTAATTCTTCCTAAAGAGTTCAAAGCAGGAAGCTATAAGTTTTTCCCAGTAAATTTTAGAGCTTAATGCATGAGTGAAACATACACAACATCAAGAAAGAAAAATGAAGTTTCAATATGACACCTTACAGCCAAGACCATCAAATAGTTGCATATATGATTTAAAGACATCAAAAGAAGTGAAGAATTATAAGTAACAACCAGTAAACCAAGTACATTATGTACACAATATAGTTGAGATACATATTAACAAGTGCTAGCAAGATTGATCGAAAGAGAAACCATGGTTTCAAAAGCAACAGAATAAGAGTTTACAACATGAGACCAACACTACTTGCATATGCTCGGCCGTTGTAGCCACATCAAATATCATCAAAAACTATGCTCAGTGCAAACTAACAATCAAGTTCCATCCATGTCTCTAGGCAATCGGCCAATTATCTTCTAACTCAGCCAAGTCGTCACATTTGATGGCATGCAATATCAAGAAATTTTCTTGAACATGGTTTCTGATACAGATAGGTAAAGGTCGATACAGGCCACGTCCAAAATCTCAAACTATGGAAATATCATACAATATGAGATTTTTCATCTTTTTACATTAAAGTAAGAAATTGTCATAAAACTAGCCTATTATTTCGAGCATCTGAAGGAACAAAGGGTATTGCACAAGTCTGCACTCAAATACAGACTCCTCAACACACAAACTATGCTAATTTTGACAAAAGAAATCAGGAATGGGAATTATAACCAACATGAAACTATATACAGATCATGGACAAAGTATCAAATTTCTGAAAATTTGAAATTGTATGGGATTATTATTAGAGACAGAGAGAGAGAGAGAGAGAGAGAGAGAGAGAGAACCTCATTTATTTCATACTTCGATTCACGAAGCCTCTCACTCCAGAAGCTAATGTCCCAATGGGCTAAATCGTTAGCTTCTGAAGCCCCTTGATTTTTTGAGAAATGTTTGAGGTCTTCCAAATCTACAAAGATTAAAACAAAGATCAGGCTCAAGAGTGTCTTAATGTGCTTTCATTCAGAATCTTTCCATCGGGAAAGAAAATTTGGGAGCCATAACTTTGAAAATACTATTGCAAAAAATCAGTATTCAAACCCCAAAATAGTACTCCCTTCATCCTGAATAAAAAATCCACATTTCCTTTTTGAGATGTCCCAAAATATAAGTCAACTTTAGGATGTATAACTTTTTAACTTTCCAGAGTTGCACTCTGCATTGAATTTGGGAAACAAATTAAATAACCAAAGTGTACGGCAAACCATCTTATTTTAACTTTTATAATAATACAAAAAATAAATAAATAAATAAAAAATGTGAAATTTCAATTTTGCAAATTCAAATTTTGAAAAAGTTTGAAGTGTCATTTCAGAACTTTGTATTAGAGTAAATCTCCACTGTGAGGGTAATCTTGGAACTTCACTTATTCTTCATCCAATATAAAACTTCGAGTGCCCAGATCCTTAAAAGTTAGAATCCTGAAAATGGACTTATAATTTGGGATGAATGAAGTAGTAAATACTCACTGATGTACTAATGTAAGTTAAAGATTTCATTTTCAATAATATTATAATTATGTAATTGCAGCATCGAACCTAAAAGGAAAAGAGAAGTTGTTCAGAAGTTTGCCATAACAATAAAAGTTATACCACAATGCAAATAATAGTGAACTTATTTTGGATCTATAATTGGGAAACATTTATGGTATTCTCCGATTCTAAATATATTAGTAGTTTGAGTAAATAAAACCCTCCTACAAATCACATAACACTTCAAATATCATAAGAGGAGCAGTTAAGTTTCTCCTTAATTCTTGTCACTCGATTAGTCCATGATGAGCATCTATTGAGTTCCATAAAAAAGCATTCACCATGAAATTATATCATGCAAAGTCATCAAACTACCTTGAACTGCAGCATCCCAGGAAGCACTGCGAAGCTTTTCTTGGAGTTCCTCTGCTTTTTCAACAGTAGCCATTTTGGTTGCCATGCTTACCTGATAATATATAGCTTAGTAAAGGGGGAAAAAAGTCTACAGAGAAGGCGTATTTCCAAAACAATGAGTCATACCTCAGCAAAATTATTGTAACCAAGAAGCTTAGCTTTTTCCAGCCTAAGCTTCAGAATTTGGTCAATAATTGCTGTATTATCCAGGTCTCCACTAGAAGCACGTGTTACATATGCACGGAAGACTTCCTCACGTAAAGCCCGGTTTTGTGCATGTTGCATTACAGACATATAACTTGGAATGTCCAACGTAATCACCCATGGCCCACTTTCAGCAGTAGCTTTTTCATGGCCCTGGTGTATCGAGATGCATAAGGAGAGAATACACAACAAAAGCCAAATGCACTGGAATTAAGTAAAACCAGCAGTAACGATAATTTGCATGTTAAAAACGACTTCAAAACCGAATACCTTAGACACAGCAGTTTGTGCAGCCAATGCAAGTGCCGTAGCCGGCAATCCTTCAATTTCTTTCTTATCTGTTACTAATTTTTCAAACTTCTTTGTGGCATCCAACACATTCTCCCCAAATTTTTGAGATAGTCTTTCCAACTCCTGCAAATCAACATATGGTGAAAGGCAAGCAACAGCCAACACAGACTAAGAAGGCAAACATTAGCTTACCAACATCTTTATTTGATCATGTTTATCAAACAAAAAAATTATCTGCCAAGTAACAAATTAACATTTGAAGTCCAATGTTTTCTATCCATTTAATGAATTAATATTTGAAATCCAAAATTTTCAGTTCTTTAAAGAAATTAACTAAAAAATTAACAAATAATAATATTATCAGCTGCAGACCTCTAATAAATTTGTTGCAGCTCCAATCCCTCGTCAATGTTATGTTCAATGAGCAATGTATAAGTTCTCAAGTTATATTAGATATAAAAACACTTCCATCCCCTAACCGAGATGTCCAAAAAATTATATAGAACCATCACAAAGTTTGCAAGGCACTAAACCTTTTTTTTTTTCTTTTTCGGAACTTAAGATCTCTATATAACATATATCAGGATAGCATGCATGTATTATTGGTATGTTATATGTTAGCCAACAAGAAGCGATATGATTAAGGATTTCCCTAATTTTGGCCCTTTGTTCTTTATCTATGTAGTTTAGTGGATGCATACTTGCCAATGTATTTTGTGAACAGATGCATGGGCATGGATATTTGAAAAAGTATAATGGACAAATAGCATGCTGAAGTCACACCAGCAGTATCTCCTAATTGATTTCACCAATGATGTAAAAGTATACCTGTTGAATTTTGTTAAATTGATCTCTTTTATCATCTTCAAGAGACACACCATTTAAAATTGCCTCCTTTATTAGCGCTGCAAATGTACACAGGTTCCCAGGTGATGTTACAATCAAGTGACATTCTTTATGATGAAGCAAGACAATTTACATAATGTACGGTGCAACTTCAAGAAATAGGAAATACTTCAGAAAAATAATTTGTTGTGGTAAGAATTCATTCCCCCATAGTTCAAAGTACAAGTTTCATTTGCAAAAGCTTCCACAGTAAAACTAAGATTACAAGGTCAAAATTACAACTAATATACAAGAAATATAGGAAAAGCTCCTTCCACAAACATAAAGAAAGCTTTTTGATAAAAATACTGCCGACGAGGCTACAACTAAATAATGTGTTAAATAACGTATCCCTACCTCCCTTTTCTCATAGTCCAATTCCTTGTGAGTTAAAATAAATTAATATATGTTAAGTAGCTGTTCTCAGCTTCACATAGATACAAACTTAAAAACAATAATAATAGCATTATTTACAAGCACACAGGCTACATTCATAGGAAAACACGAGACACCTTCAAGCCATTTTCAGGAAAAATTATCTTGCCTCTTCAGACAAAGTTCAAAATTAATCGTGTAGGAGAATATTATTATAGGAACCTTAAATTACTCCACAAAATATTGCTCTGGGAATATTGTGGGAGTGATTTTAGTCTACGATAAAATATGATTGGAGTGATTTATGGGATTGATTTTATGAATCCTCCATTAATGTATCTTCCATATTGATCACTTTGTTCTTTCACCTATAAATAGAGGTGTCCATTGTAAACAATCTTTATTTTATTTTGATAAGTAAAATGTATTAGAAGGCGTTCAAAAGGGGAACGCGTCCCAAGCTATACAAAAAACTGAAACTATGATCTCAAGGAGCCCAAAAAGTCCACAATATCCTCAATGGAGGAAAAATCTCTCCCCCAACCCCAACAAAAAAGAGTACAAATAATAGAGAATTTCAACACCCCAATGGAGGACTCCTTCCCATCAAAAGATCTTCTATTCCGCTCTTTCCAAATGCTCCACCAAACACAAAAGGGGGTTGCTCTCCAGAAGACTCTCGCCTGAGCCCCCACCCATTGGCCTCTCCAAATATCCAGCAAATCCCGAGATGTCCGAGGCATAACCCAATGAATACCAAACAAATCAAAAATGAGACTCCAACAATCATAAGCCACAGGACAATGCAGCAGCAGGTGATCCACTGACTCCCATTCAATTCAACTTACAAAGAAAACACCGATTAACAATAATATGTCTTCGCTTCCTCAAGTTATCCAAAGTCAAAATCTTGCTCCAAGCTGCAGTCCACACGAAAAAGGCCACCCTAAGAGGCGCCTTGGACAACCACACCGTCTTCCACGGGAAGGAAACGCCATGAGAACCAGAAAGGCGCACAAAAAAAAGACCGGACCTAGAACATCCCCTGAGAAGAGGGCACCCAAAACAAGGAGTCAACACCAGTGCCCTCCACCTCCTGTCTGTACAAGAGAGCCGACAAGCCAGTGACATCATCCAACTCCCAATCCTGAAAAGATCGCCGGAATCGCACATCCCAAGATAACCTCCCGCTATCAAGGCGATAGCAGTTAGCAACCATAGCATGTTTGTCAACAGCAATCCTGAACAGCCTTGGAAACAAAAGAGCCAAAGGCCTATCCGCGTACCAAGGATCCTCCCAAAACCGGACAAACCTTCCATCCCGAACTTTAAATCTAACATGTTTGGAAAACTCGTCCCATCCTTTTCCAATGGCCCTCCACACCCCTACTCCACTAGCAGACCTGACTGGCCTAGCTGACCACCCCCCCCCCCTCTCCTCCCCAAAGCGACAGGAAATAACCCTTCTCCATAATCTATGCCTTTCACTGCCGAATCTCCATAGCCACTTACCGAGAAGAGCACTATTAAAAGGGGCCAATCTCCTAATACCAAGCCCGCCCAACTGAAAAGGCCTGCAAACCTGCTCCCATCTGACAAGATGATACTTAAACTCCTCTCCACGACCCCTGCAAAGGAAGTTTCGTTGTAGCATCTCAAGACGGCCAACAACCGAGGCTGGAACCCGAAAGAGCGAAAGAAAATACGTTGGAAGGCTTGACAAGACGCTTTTCACTAACGTAACTTTACTACCCTTGGAGAGATATTGCTTTTTCCAACCAGTTAATCTTCTTTCGACCCTCTCAATCACCGGGTCCCAACTTCCCACCCTCCTGGCCGAGTCCCCCAGCAGCAAACCCAAATACAAGATAGGGAAACATTGTGTCCCACACCTTAAAACAGCAGCCAGAGTGTCCACCTCCTGAACCTCCCCCACAGGGACAAGCACACTCTTGCCCACGTTGACTTTCAAACCAGAGACAGCCTAAAAGCAAACTAAGACACATCTCAGATACCTCAATTGGGACACCTCTGCCTCACAAAAAACAATAGTGTCATCCGCAAAGAGCAAGTGAGAAATCTCCATTTGCTAAACGTAGTCGGGGCCAATCTTGAAACCCCTGATAAAACCCAAATCCACCGTCCTTTTCATCAACCTACTAAGAGCCTCCATAACACTAATAAAAAGGAACGGGGAGAGAGGGTCCCCCTGCCTCAGACCGCGAGAGCTGCCGAAAAACCCCGCAGGGGACCCATTCATAAAGATGATGTAGCCCTTTGGGCTTTGTGCGTGTATTCTTGTATGCTTCATTTTCTATTTCTCTTTTCAATTTTGACATGTTATCAAAGCAGGTTTATCATACCATACTCTATACTCTACTTGTCCCCGATCAACTTGTCCCGGATCTTTGCAACTCGTTTCGGACTCTCAACAACTTCGTACTTAGTTTCAAGTTGGACACTTGAGTTAAAATCTCCGTGTACCAACTTGAGGGAGGGTGTTGGAGAATATTATTATAAGAACCTTAAATTATTCCACAAAATATTGCTCTGGGAATATTGTGGGAGTGATTTTAGTCTATGATAAAATATAATTGGAATGATTTATAGGATTGATTTTATGAATCCTCCATTAATGTATTTTCCATATTTATCGTTTTGTTTTTTCACCTATAAATAGAGGTGCTCATTGTAAACAATCTTAAGAGAGAATATAATAAATAAGATGTAACCCTTTGGGCTTTGTGCATGTATCCTTGTGTGCTTCATTTTCTTTTTCTCTCTTCAATTTTGACAAGTCGAAATTAATATGATTCAATCTATTTGGGAAACAAGGGAACAAAATCCAAAGTCCTTTGAAAGTACAGTAATTTATTTTTCGTTCAATCCTTATATATAAATCCCCATCTATATATAATCCCCCATCTCTTAATGCATACAACACCGATTAATGATAGTTTGACCTCTTTATTTAAATGCCTTAATACACTATTTCTCAGGGGTGGAGCGAGTGTATGCCCAGAGGGGGGGCATGTATAACACCCCCTCCCCCCCCCCCCCCCCCCCCCCGCCCCGGGGGCCTGCGCGGAAATAATCTCTGACTTTTTCTTTTTTCCCCCCTCTTTAAATTCCTTTACAAAATAAAAAGTAAAATTTCCCTTCTTCAATCACGCTCTAATACTTTTCCTTTCAAAATTATGTCAATTTTTTTTGTTCTTTTTTTGCACTGCGAAAATTGTGACCCTCATATCACCCGATACCCCTATACCATAGTCGTGCATGTAATGACCCGGATTTTCACGGATATTTTTTTTCCGTTGTCTTTCCTTTCTGAGTTCAGTTCCTCTTCGCTTAGTGTCATCTCAAGTGCTTTGAAGTGATTTCCGAGACTCTTTTCTGTGGATTAACAACTTCCTTTGAGGACCGAGTCGTTTCCACATTTTTCGTTTTTCGACACTATTCACTTTTCGTCCTTTTCCCTATTTCGTCCTTTTCCCTATTTTGTCTTTTCTCCGTTTGACACTTTGTTGGCGTAACCACACTTCTTGTGTTCGGAGTTGGTTTTTGACTTCATGTATCTCCATCTCGAGTGGTTTCCACGAAATACGTATCTTTACTTTTGCAAGAAAGTACTCTGGTTGCTCCCGGTGTCCATAGGGGCATGGATGCAAAGTTCTTTGAAATTATTTTCTTTTCTTGGGGTGTTTTTCGTAAATATCTTTTGAAGATATTTTATTTCAGGGGTTTTTAAGAAAATATTTTTGGAAGATATTTTCATTCTGGGCCATAAGTGCAGTTTTCACTTTTTAGAGGGGCCATTGTACAATTAATGAAAGTTATTGCAAAATGTCTTGTTTTGAACCTGGATCCTCGTACGGGATTCATTTTCACATTTCGTTAAGTTATATACTCTTGGAATTTTATCCTGATCGATGTTTTTCAGTTTCAGGGTTTCTAGCCCCGGTTTGCACCAAACTTGTTTTGGGCATAACTTTCTGCTCGGGACTCGATTTTTGATGCCGTTTCTTCCGTTGTTCATATTTTATCATTTTGAATCTTTTTCGTTCACAAAGTTTTGTCATTTGAGCGCGTCTGCTTAAATTTTACTTTTCCGGACCCGGCGGGGCCTGTTCGGGGCACTTTTTGAGATTTTTATAAAAGGGGGGTGAGATATTTCATTTTTCATCTTCTCCCCTCTTCATGCACGACCTGGAACTGCCATGGCAGCCCAAGGGGTGCTGCCATCTTCTCTCTCCTCTTTTGGTTCACTTTTCCTTGATGGAAAGTTTTCGGCCTTAACGTTTGTTGTTCCCTTCGCCGTGCTCTGTCTTTCCCCCTTATTAGAATTCAGTTTTGACCATTTCTTGAGTTTGATTTTGAAGTCAAGTTATGATTTTGATGGGGCTTTCATAGGGGTTATGTTCACGGCATTGTCCCCGACAAAACCTAGTAGTTTCGTCGAATTTGGAACCGTTCCATTTTGATGGCTTTTGAGATTTTCATCTCAAATTGAGGTAAGGAATGTTTTAGGCTTTTGTGTGTGTTGTATTGAGTGTTTAGCATGATTATACAACTTAATTGCATGCCTTGTATCAATTCTAGAAAATTTGTATTAATTATTTCTTTGTATGAAATTTAATTCACAAGGATGTGTATAACTTAGAATGGAATTGTAGCATGCTAGAAAATCATGTTTTAATATGTTTGTTAACATATATTAAATTGGGATTAATTGAATAAGAATTGCACTTTTTATTTAAAGATTAAATCCCATGGCCATACTTTTCATGAAATGAACTTGTAGTATGCTTTTAAATTAAGTCTTAGCATGTTTGTTAACATACTTTAATTTGAGAGTATTTGGACAAATATGAAAATCTAGAGATTTTAAATTAAATGATTGATTAAAATCTATTTAATGGTTCCCTTGGCCCAATTAAGTTTTTTACTTGATAATCATGATGACTAGGACTTGTGTACTAGTATATATTAAATTGGGACCATTTGAAGTTGCTTTGAAATTTAGAAGATTAATTATCATGATATAATTAAATTCTACCTTGTTGTGCCATTGGTCTAATTGAGATTTTAGTGAATGTATGTATATACTATGCTATATTATATAATATGCATTGATTAGGAGGCCATTTGATTGAGATTTGAAACCTAGGGAATTTAATTAGTTTATAGATTAAATTCCGTTTCTATGGTATTATTGATTAACTCATGTATTTGACATTGATAGTATGTTTAAAGCATGACTTTTGACTTATAATGAATTTATGAGTTTATGTTTTCAATATTGGATTATATTGTTATAGCGTGTAACGAATCGCACTTTGAAGATTCGACATTGTCGTCCTATAGTAGTTGTGGATTTATAGCATGTATTGTGTGGATACAATCTACTTGCGCATGGAAGGTGACTTAGTGCATTATATAAATTGCGTATAAGTTGTGAACTTATTTGATTATTTTGAACTCTTGGGACATTGTTACTGTGATATGGCTAAAGTTCGGCTTTAGTGCGGGAGGTATGAGTTCTCCCCAATTGAGATAATGCGCACTAGGGTGGTCTTCCCAGCGGGTTAATGCCCGGAATAACCAATTTGTTCTTGATTTAGTCCGAGACGTGATGTCCAAGTCTTCCACTATTTGTTTTCGCATTCAATTCCAAGTTATCAATTATGTTTATATTGTGACTGTGGTTTTGGCTATTGGCGATTTGATGTTGTTAAGTACATCCATACTAAATTGCTATATTTAGTTGATTTAGCATTTAGATTTCAAGTTGATAACTTTGACAATCTATATCTAGTTGCTTTGTGTAAGCATGTTTCTATCTGGTTGCTTTGTGTAAGCATGTTTCTAACTAGTTGCTTTGTGTAAGCATGTTATATCTTGTTGCTATGTGTAGCAAGCTCTTGTGTTGTTGAAATTGCATAAAGGATGTGTTTTATGCTAAAAATGATCTTAGGTAGCTAGGATGCTCCCTGAGTCTCACCTTTGACATAGACGTTAGGTGGAATGAATCACAATGATTAAATCATGTACACTTGTAAAACGTAGGTCGATGAATGCTCATTTCCTACGAGTAACTTTATGTCACTCACCCCTACGATACTGGGGCATATTTCAGGTACAGGATACAAGATTGGAGATTACAATTGCTTGGATGATTTGCTGAGTTGAGCTTCTTTAAAAGCATTCTTGTTCACATGCAAGTATTAGCATGTTCATGATTTGTCTATGAAATGTAATTTTTCTAACTTGGAGGTTTGACATGTCAAATGTTGTAAATGTATTGTAATGAGGCCATAGGCCATTGTAGCACATCTATTTTATCATATTACATACACTTGCATGCTCACTTTGGCAAACAATACCTTCCTTGATGAAACAAAAACCTAAAGTTGCATATTTTTTAGTTTGACCCTATTCTGTACAGGGGCATTTCGGGTATTTCACAATGAGTTTTTTTCATTTTTCCTCACGAGTCACGTAAAAAACTTGATTTTGAAGGGGGTTTCTTTTTTGTGTTTTTCCAGAAAACATCATCTTGGCCCTCAAAAATCAATATTTTTCCGAAAAATCCTTGCTACAAGGTTTTGCAAATTTTTAGTACAAATGTAGTTGGTACTATTCATCAACTTTTTTTTGAAAATCGTCACGACCAATCCGAAACTTTCGGAGATCTTGTGGGTGTATTTTAAGATTGCATTTTCAATTTAAGCAATTTAAAAACCTCCCAAAGCCCTATTTCCAAAACTTGGGCAGTAGCTCGGATTAGTTTTTTTCCTCTTGACCTAATTTTCTTGGGGGCATTCTGGGCATTTTACAATGCATTTTTTTTGTTTCCGTCCGCGATCGGGGTAGGAAACTCTTCTTCTTTAAGTTTTTCCAAAAAAGTCCATTTAGATGCCCGTTTTTACTCTCAGTTGCAGCAATGGTGGGTTGTCCTCGTCGGGCCGCCACGACATCATTTTTGTTTTTGACCTTTTTCCCCCGTTCGGACTCCTAATTGAGTAAACTTTTTTTTTAACTTGACTAATTTGTCATTGTCTTTCCAGCGGTGTGCTCGATAGCACCTGAATCCACTTTTTACAAAATGACCATTTTGCCCCTAGGTTCTTTTTGTCCGTTTTTGAAACGACACTTCTGCATTTGTTTCCTTTGGGTTCTGTAACCTCATTGAGGGTCACATTGGTGTCTTAGAGACGCATTGTATCTCTAGAGACCGTTGTTTCACCTTTCGCTTCCGCATTTCGGATCCATTATCGGGTCATCTTTTGGTCATTACTGACGCACCGGGTTTACAAAACTTGGGCCGTCACAGTGCACAAGCACCAAAGTTTAAATTTATACACTAATAAATATATATTTTAAATTTTTTTATACACATCAATAATTAATATAAAATAGACAAATATATTTTGTATTTTTGTCATACCTATACCCAATTATCTACCTTATCGCTATATTGGCATCATGTCATGCTTGTATACTCATTCCCTGCTTTCGAGGCACAACCATTTACTACAATTAATATAAAATAGACAAATATATTTTGTGTTTTTGTCATACCTATATCCAATTATTTACCTTATCGCTATATTGGCATCATGTCATGCTTGTATCCTCATTCCCTGCTTTCGAGGCACAACCATTTACTCTATAGGGCTTGAAAAAAAAATAAAAAGCAACTACTTCATAGCCCCCAATGCTTCTCCTTTAATTGAAGACCACACTATGTCTCAATTCATTATATGATAGTTAAACTCATCCCCCAACGTAACCACCAAAAGTCCCTACAAAGCTTCTAGCTTCTCTTTGCCATGAGAAACTTCTTAAATTCAACATGACAAATTCTGCCAATTTTTATTAATAGAAAATGAATGAGAGAATCCTATAAAATATAAGGGGAAAAAAAAAAAAAAAAAAAATTTGTTTAAAAGAAATATAACATAGATTCATAGACACTTCATACATAAAATCTCCTATAGGAATTAAATTCATAAGGGCACCACAAACTTTCAGGATTGAACTCAATATAGACTCACATTGTCAACCTTATAATTCCCATCCTAAAAGGGAAAAAATTGAGCCATATCACGTAAAATATTCTATAATGGCTTGTTTCCTTTCTTTTACAATTTGGATTGGTATTAGTCTATTATTACCACAAACAACAACTCAGTTTTTGTCCTTTTTGTCCAACAAAAAGGGCCATATAGAAAAACCACGTGGAACCAAAATATAAAAGGTCTAACTGAGGCCTACTAACTTAATATCAAACCAGACACAGTAGAAACCATAACATATGAAATTTATACAGAGTCCAAAAAAAAAGTAGCTAAAAAATAAACAATTAAGAAAATTTTCTATACCAATGTATGTAATAATATAAAACAAAACTAAGAACTAGTCTCCAATGAATATGGTAATAGTTCAGGATGAGTTTTAAAGAAACTTACATTCTACTATGCGTTTACGAGCACCACTTAATGCCTCCCAATCAGAAGATCCTCTGATAGCTTTAACAGCATTATAAATTGGTTTACTCTGTCCCAACTTAAGCTCAAACTCAACTCTCTCTGGCTGCAGACCGCACAGTAAACAATATAAACCCCAAAAACATCAAAAGCTCAAACTCAACTCTCTCTGGCTGCAGACCGCACAGTAAACAATATAAACCCCAAAAACATCAAAGCACAACGATGTGCGAATCCATCCCTTGAACCAATAGCAAAAAGAACAACAGAAAAAAAGAAGACAATTTTAATATCAATACGTAATTTAATCAACTTTATAACCAGAATCCGCTCAGCTTCACCCTGATGGTTTTAATTGGGTGATGATTATTGATTAACAATTTAACATAATCTGCAGCATAATCACAGCAAATGAATACGAATAATATGCAAGTCAATAAGGAGATCAGAAGGTACCCTTGAAATGAAATGCTATACTTCATTTCTCATTGTTTTCTCTTTATTTCATTCATACGTTTTTCGGGTATAGATAAGAACATCACATGTTTGTTTTGGAAGGAGACCCAGAGCTCATACCAAAGACAATTATATACACACACAGATGTACTTGTGCGTTACTTATCAAAAAGAAAGAAAAAATGTACTTGTGCGTGTATTATATAGATATATGTGTGTGTGGAGTACCTGCACTTCTTCAATGGCGGAACGGAGTTCGGAAGAATCTTTGACGGACTTAAGATGACTAACGATACCCCAAATGACAGTTAATCGATCACTAATCTTCTCCAACGGCTCAACCAGCTTCGGCCACGATGGTTCAACCGTTCTCTCCAACTCCTCCATTTCAATCTCCTACAAAACAACTCACCATCGAAACCATCAAACGAAAACAAATCAAACACACACACTCACACACAAACATAGAGAATCCCCAATATCAAATCGTACGAGTTTCTTCAACAGGCTACGAATTCCAGGACGGACGTGCTTGGCTTCAACAACATCGTACGGTGGGAAATCGAAGTCCTTCAACAGAGGATTGTCATCGGCCGTCGACATCTTCTTCGGAGGAGGATCGTAGGCCGTCGATGTGGCGGAAAATGAGCGGACGGGGGTGGTTGACTTGCGTAGGGTTTTGAGGCAGAGCGAGAAGGAAGAGGACCAGAGGGGACAAGGGAGGGATTTTCGAAGATGTTTGGAATAAATGAGCGGATAAGAAGCAGGGCGTTGTAAGCAGATGGGTTGAATAGAGCGAGAGAGAGTGATTCGGATCGCCATGAGAATGTTGAATATAAAGACGATAGATCCGAGTAGGGAGACTCGGTTTGTTAAGAGTAGAGTACGAGTAGTCATTTTTTTTTTTGTTTTGTTTTTTTTTGGTATGACTTGTGTGTGTAGTTTATCTTGAGGTGTTGATTAATTCAAATGTCCGATGTTAAAAAAAAAACAAGAAATTCGTGGGCTCCATTGCATTATTTATTTGAATGCATTGAACTAGACTGAAAAGTGCACTAGAGAGTTGTGGAGGGAAAAATCCCCTTCCAATAAAAGCATGTCACGTCCTAGCATGGGGCCACTTTCAATAAGTTGAATGGGTTGGCCACAAACACGAAGAAATGAGTTTTGTGTTTTTTTTTTTCTTAATCGGTATTCACACATATTAATCTCCACTGAAGCTCGAATCTTGACTTTTTTTTAAAAAGTAGAAACCTAATATCGCTAAGCCACTGACCTGTTAATGAAAGAGTCTTCCGTTATCATAACATATTTATGTAAACTTTGTATAATGATACAAGGAAACAAATAGGGTTAAATGCTCTCACACCTCCTAAGGTTTTAATTTATTACTCTTATATTAAACCTGAGCAAAAGTTACTAATACATCCCCATGAAGTTTGGTTTAATCTGCACCCCTCTTTTAAAAATGATAAAAAAAAAAAAAAAAAAAAAAAAAAACAACAACAACCTAAATTAACCTCATTTATCTCAAATTCATTTTTATTATTAAATTGTTAAGACTTTTTTACCCTCAACTCATTTCCTCTCTGCAATCGAGACCTATAGGCTCAAGCAAGGTCACTTTTTGTTGCTCTGGTGACGGCGAGCCGTAATTGACCATGGAACCACACTTAAGGTCGGTGGTGAGAAGCTTTTGAATGATTTCAACCTCTCTAGCTCTAGTTGACAACGCTCAAGTGAGAGGTCACTTCATAATGTCAAAATTATGATTGTGGTTTCGGAAGCTTAAAAAGTCAAATTTACATTTATAAAATCACCACACACTAATACTAATGAAGCATAGCGAGTAGGGATCATCCCAAAAGATTGAACACGTGTTGGAATCAAATCGAACTTTAGTGCTAATGAGATTGTAAAGAAAGTTGGTTTGGTTTGTTTAAACTACAATTGATTTTGGAAACATGCAATGTAATTAAACTAAAATAATTAGGGTGAAAGAGATAGGAGAAAAGTCTTAGGGTATTGGAATCACCATTAAACCACATGTCTTCAACTAATTGTGGAAAATTATAATGTAAACCAAATGTGACTACTAATTACAATAATAAACATAGCCATCAAATTTAAGCATGAATTGTCTACCTAACTACAAGTATAATTAAAATGTAGTGCAATTTATTAAGTTTAAGCATAAACCATTAAATTAATCAACAATGGTAGCACACATCAATCTACAAAATAATGCAATTTGCAACAATAAGCCATGGATTATCAAATTCAAGCATGGATTGCCTACCTAACTAGAATTGAAATGCAATTAAACTACAATTAAGCTAAGATAATGAATTTAAAGCAATTAAACTAAAGATGTAGTGCAATCCATAAAGCATAAACATAATCCATCAAATTAATTAACAAATGCATCTAGTGAAATCCATGCATAGCCATCACTAAATTCTTAATTAATCACACATAAACATGCAACCAATCTAGAGAATTATTAGGAAGAATTTCACCATAGAAATCATAGGAAAACCCAAATTTCATTGCATACACAAGGCTATAGCATCATTTACAACATTAATTCCCCCAAAAGTTAAAGACTAGGGTTTAGAGTACAAGCCTAGGGTTCATTCAAGCCCTAAGATGGTGTTTAGCCACTCATGGAGGAGGTGGATGTGATCTTGGAACCCTCAAGGGTTAGCTCCAAACATGACTCCATCTTTTTCCTCTTAGTCTTCTTGGTATAAACCTTAGAGATCTTGATGTTCTTCATCTTTCTTCCCCAAAACCCTAATTCTAGAGAGAGAATTTTAATATCTAAAGTTGATCTCTATGTAAAATTAGCTAACCCCTTACAAAGTGGTTCATTTTCCCTTTAAATAAGCCCATTGGAATGCAACACAAGTCAGAAATTGAGCCCCTCAGGTTTTAATCTTGTAGCCATTTGGTAGGTGAAGTTTGGGCGAAGCCGGGAATAAAATAGCTCACTGCCAGCAGAGTTGCGATCGATCACTAAAATTTACGATCGATCACTCTAACGTGGTAGTCTTATCTTGACAACTGGCTGCCTTATTCACTGAGCTGGCGCTGACGTGGCATTATGATCGATCGCTCTAAAGCTACGATCGATTGTACTTAAACGAACGGTGACAAGCCAGCCTTATCCGGTTGTTGAGGTGGCTATGAACGATGATGTGGCCAGCGAATGATCGCTAGTATATACAATCGATCGCTCTGCTCCAGGGCAATTTTCTGAACTTCTTCTAAATTTTTCTTCTCGACTCCAAAAAGGCTTAAGTAGACTGTTTTTAGCCCGTTTGAACCTTATTGACTTGAAATTGACAAACACACAAATTAGAACTAAAACGAGAAAATAAAAATAGATGAAGGAACTAAAACACCCTAGCTTAGGGTTAAAATGTGCAACATTTGAGCACTTATCACACTCCCAAACTTAGATATTGCTAGTCCCTAGTAATAAACTACGAAGTAAAAAGGAAAACAATAACAAAACAATTACGAACTAGAAAACAATAAAAGGATAACACCGTTTTCGTAGGAATCACGGTTGCATTTACCACATGCAACAAGCCTTTTAAATCCCTAGGTGACCCCTAGTGGACGAGTGAAGTCTCGTGAGGGTTTCTAAAAATAATACCCACAAATATCAAGCTCTTTCTCACTTAAGATATACCAACATTCCAAACAAGCATTGAAAAAAAACTACCTCAAGTATACCATTTTTCAACCATCTCTAAGCAATTTCCAAAATTCCAACAATAAGCAAATAAATATGATCCTCCACACATTAAACAAGATAATCATGCAAATAAAAACAACTTTAGCATCCTTTTGAGTGAACCAACATCAAATATGTTGCTATCTTAGCAAATCAATGAAATGGGCACAATCGGTTTCAAACTAGCATATAAATCTAGTATCAATCACCAAGACAAAGAATGAACCTTTTTATTCAATTTATTTCCAACATGCTCTCTTTTTCTTTCTTTTTCTCTCTTTTTTCTTTTTTTTTTTTTTTTTTAATGGGATCAAAGATAAGCATATGGCGATAAGCATATGGCGCAATGTAATGATCTCTTAAACTCTCTAGAAGATTCATGTAATGAGCATTAGGTCAATGACTCCCAAACCGGACGACTTTAGGGCATTAGGTGTAAAGATACCCCTAAGGACTTACAAGCTCAAATCAACTAGGTTACAAATCAAAACAACTCTCATCATGTCATTTCCCTACTCCCTACCTTTGGTGAGAAGCGCTTACTTCTCTTTTAATTTTTTATTTATTTATTTTTAACTATTGTGTGGGCCCTTCACTTTTCGGTGCGAAAACTCAATGCTTAATGAGGCGAGAATCTTAGCTACTCGATAAAAGGGTTTGTTATAGCATGCAAGGTCATCTTGTCAAGAATGAAAGTTTTTAAAGCCTACTAGCTCAATTGGGATATAACCAAAACAATGATTAATTAAGCATGTACCCCACAAATGAATGCTAGTGTGTGCCTGTGCAAATGTAGTACTCTAGAGTCGAATCTCAAAGCATTCTCACAAACAATATGATGTAGACCACAAAAGCAAGCATGAAATCAAACTTTTGAAAAATTTGCTCCTAAATGGCATCCAAAGGCATACAAGGAGTATTGAACTCTCAAATCAATAAAATTTTCAAATCAATGAAACATAAGTCTTAAAAGATCAAAATTATTGCTAAAATAAATTTCAAATCTCAATCATGCAATTAAAGCTCAAGACAAGTAGAATGCAACAAAGCCATCTTACCCCCAAACTTAAACCGCACATTGTCTTCAATGTGTCATGAGAACAATGGAAGAGATGGAAAGAGTATACCATAGTGCCAAAAGCCTATGTAGCCTGGCAATGATCCATTTTGAAAGACGTCTCCCTTAAACTTGGAATCAAAAACCTATTTGAATAACCACACTAGCAAACTCACATCAAATATCACAAGGGATAAAGAGGGCAAATCATACACTCTAAGGCAATATAGAGCAAGATGAAGAGAGATATGAGATCAAGTCAACATTTTTTTTATTATTATTATTTTTTTTAAAGGATGAATGCACAAGTAATTAAAATACAAGAAGAATAAATTGCAAGAAATGAAATACAAGAAAATAAAATGCAATGAATTTTTTTTAATTAATTATTATTATTATTATTATTTAGAGAAAACCCACGATCGATCGCAACTATGAACGATCGTTCGTTCAGATTTGCGAATGATCACCTAGAACTTGAAATTTTCGACACTCCGGACGATCGATTATAAGACTTTTACAAACGATGGAGGAGAGGATGCTTCCAGGGCAACCGATTGTTCCAAGTTGCGATCGATCGTAAAGTCATACAAACGATAGATACCAAGGGCTATTTTCAAGGCAAAATTAGACTTCTGCAAATCATGATCACGATCGATCGTAAATTCTATGATCAATCGTAATATTGCTGCCTGGGCACTAAATGTTGAAATTTTGGAATTTTTAAGGCAGAATTTTTCAAAGGTACAAAATGCTTGAATTTTTTTAATAATGCACAATGGAACCTATATAGGTGACGCAAGAATGAAAAATAAAAAGAAATAGGGGAGGAATAGAGTTTGAAAACTTTATGAAACTAGGTTTAACATCTCTAGTCGATGTTAAAAGGCTCTCAATCTTCAAGATAGATGAGATCCACCAAGAGGGCGACTTCCACATCTCTTTGAATAACTTGTCCTTCAATATAGGGCTTTAATCTTTGACCATCCACCTTAAGGATTCTTTCATCTTTCAAGCACTTGATTTCAACTGCCCTATGAGGAGAAACGGAAATAATCTCATAAGGGCCCTCCTATTTAGTGCGTAGCTTCCCGAGAAAGAATT